TGTGTTCTTTTAACCACGTCTCAGCTACTTGTTTGTACTGGTACAAGATTTTACTGCATATCCAAAAAATGTTAGTCTCACCATTATCATATGATTTTGTGATAAATTAAATTACCATAAATCTTAAAAGGAAACAACAGAGAAATTAAACCGGATTTCCTGATGGTTCTAAAAAGCTTTCATGCAACTTGCTGGTCTCTTCTTTTATCCTCTGCAGCCATCAGTATACTCATCCATAAAGTAGGAAACACTACACTGTGTAGAGAAGTTTAGTAGTGCTTTCTACTTTATGGGTGACAACACTGTACATCAGTAGCTCCTGGTCGCTTCACCCTGAATGCTGAAGTCACAATGGGTTGAATAATGTCAAGTGTTCACAAGTTAGATATGACACAAGGAACATGTTCAAACAGAAACATGAAAAACGTGAACTTTTTCCATCAACTGCACCTTCAACATTGTTGCCAAATAAAATGCTGAAATAGGTCAGTCATGAGAAAAAGTTTTCCTGTATATTAGTACGTTAGTGATGTTTTACAGGAAGGATAAAACAATTAAAACAAAATTAGCAATTAGATGTTACTGTAAAAAGTTACTTGCTGTCAAGGTCTTACCAGTGTCTGGACTCAGCAGAAGAAAGAAAACCCAGAAGTGAACGTGATCTTTTTATTAACCCTGTCTGGGCCACGTGGTTTAAACAGGAAAAGCTCTGACACACACACACACACACACACACACACACACACACACACACACACACACACACAGTCTCCATACAGGGAAGTGAATGCACATGCATGTGTCTGCATTCACACAGACCAGAGGGCAATTTTTGTTGTTAAATGAACTTGTAGCTGCTGCGGGTGATTATAGGTCCAACTACTTTACATTTCTGGAGGTGCATTACCACATGTGTCATAGTATTATTTATATATCTTTTATATTCTTATATATAAATCAACACGTTTCATAGTATTAACAGTTCCTGGTCTCCCTCTCCTCTCTCTCCCCCTCTCCTTGCCATCCCCCCATCTCTCTCTCTCTTCTCTCCTGTCTTTTTCACCCAGCTCTCCTCTCTTCCCCATTTTTCTCCTCTCACCAGTTAATGGGGGAGTTTCCTCTCTCCACAGTTGCCAAAGTGCTGCTGATTGTGGGAACTGTTGGGTTTCTCTATAATTCCTAAGGTCTCGACCTTCTTTGTAAAGTGCCTCGAGATAATGTCTTTTATGATTTAGCACTATACAAATAAAATTGAATTGAATTATTACAGTAATAGAGATTCGCAAAGTACCAGTGTCTCAGAATTTAACTTATAATTTGTGAAGTGCACATATTTAATCTGTCTACACACACACACACACACACACACTTATTAAAAGCCTAAATTCAAAGCCTACGCCCATTACGACTGGCCGTACTGCACCACTGCAGCGTGAGCTCATCCCTTTTAAGGACAAACAGTACAGTGATGAGACGACACCTGCTTTTAAAAAAGTAGTTAGGCACTAAAGCAGATAAATATTGATCCAGATAATAATTGATGCGAACGTGTTCCATAGAAATAGATGCAGCAGTTAAAGGCATACATTGACTGAAGATACAAATATTATGATAAATCAAAGATTTTCAACAGACTGAAATTAGATTGTGGAAGCTCATGTAAAGATGCTGGAGCTTTTAAATGTTTATTAGCAAATTGAGAATGAGAATCACATCACATATTGTTTTTCAGTGTTACTCTTAGTCTAAAATGTTCTGTGCTGATAACAGGAAGCTTCAGATCTCCTTTACATTTCTGAGAACTCATTCAGGCCTGCATGTATCTGATGAGGTATGGGTGGGGGATGGTGGTGTGAGGCTCTTCCCTATCCTGGCAGCAAATGTGCAATATGCTTGCAACAACAGAAACTTTGCAAATAGACAAGAGACGAGCCTGTGCCTTCTGTTGTCACGACAACACAAACCTCAGAGTCACACCAAGAGAAATAAGAGGAAGTGGGGGATGGGCTCTTTGCACAAACCGAGAAAAGCTGTCCTTGTGAGAAAAAAGAAAAGACATGCACACAGGCAAGCTTGCAAATGCAGGTATTGATAACAAAATTTAATTTTCTGCAGGGAATCAGGTGCTTAGCCTTTTCCGCGATGAATAACACATGCACACACATGCTTTTGTCTCTTGTCCAAGAGAGCAGGGGATGGAGCTCTGCAGCAGGCGACCATGACTGTGCATCCTTCAGATTATCTCAGCACTGATGCTGTGCTTGCATCAGACATCTATTCCTGTGCAACATGGGATTATATCCAAAGTGATCTGCTTGAGTACTTAAGGTGATATAGATAACGTCAGGGTGCCAAAAACAAGCGCAGCATCTAATGACACCAGTGGGTATAATCCTGCAGGTCACACTTTAGGACTGATTGAATTATGTTTCACCTTTGATGATCGATCAAAGACAGGAAATCAATATTTATCTCCTATGTAACAGTAGCGTTGCAAATTAATATAATTTGTATTATTCAACCAATGTCATTAAGAGCTTTTGACTGAATATTTTACAGTTGGGAGCATCTGCTGGAACCTATGACTCTACCAGCTGTGTTTCTGCACCTAGTATCCACTACAACATTTCTTTTTCTTTCTCATTACATCATGATTGTTGCCACAAAAGATGAAACTTCCTCATGACTCCTCAAGATAGAAATAAAAAGTCTGGGGACATTCATGACACAATCCAACTGCTACCTGAAACCATACAATTGGCTTGGTGCTGCCACTTTGTGGATGTTAGTGGAGGTGACACTGAAATATATCCAGGCGAGCTGTAGTCTGTAATGGAGAAATCTTTCAAAATATAACCAACAGATTTTTAAAGGTGAATATTTTTTAGCATATTCGGCTTTATTACCACACACACATGCACACAATATAAACAAATATTTTAAGCCCCATCAGAAAAATGAGAAAAGATGAGAAGAAAATGGAAAAATATATTTTTTAACCACACAGGAATCAAACTTTTTATTTACTGGTAACATAATGTTTTACAAACTGGGCGCACCAAAGGCTGAACCTGTTTTAACTCGACAGCTTGAACATGTGTACCATCACTCAGGTGAGAGAAAAAAACTGCACTTCAGAGTTCAAATTCCTGCAGAACAGGAAGGAAACTCAAATGAACCGCGATAACATATCAGATAAGAGTAAAAGATTATCAGCTGTTACTCCGGATCATCCTACATGGTGCAATCAAAAGTAGTGTAGACTGATAAAGAACAAATAATTGATCAATAATTTCAAACGCAGTGCAATTGTTGTAGAAATCAAATAAAGACTTAAACTATGTGGCTTAAATGTAATCTACAACTTAAAAACAGGACTCGAATTAGACACAAAGTATAGAACAAATAAAAAAAATGCTCATTCTTTTTACCCAAACATAACATCACAGACAGTGCATACAGTAGACTTACACATACATCATTTACTTTTAAATACATTTCTTCATTCGCAATTCTTGTGTCAGCAGTATTTATTCATAAAGGTTCATTCATCAAGGTTCATGCTGTGGTGTGCAGGGAGAGTGCACTGGGCACCAGCGCTGCCAGGATGAGTAACACAGTGCTTACTGCTCCCACGTGGCCTCTTGAGTAATACACCTGCCTCCCATTCAAGGGCTGCACTGATCTGTAGGTTCTGACCATTTGCGTTCCGTCAGAGAACTGAAGCTGGGAGAAAGCAGTGAGCTGCAACAAGGAGGGAATCACAGCACACAGGTAAAATGTACATCACTCTGCATGTGCATGTGCATGTGCATGTGCATGTGCACGGCAACGAAAGGCAATATCTGTACAACATGCCACTCAGCTGCAGTTCACCTCATACCTAAAGAGCATTTTATCACCTTTGAGCTCGTTGTTTTGGAATTATGTCCTGTAACCTGTACTTTCCATCAGTGTCTTTTCCATGAGACAGCTGTTTTCAGCAAATTAGATAAATACAAAAATATAAACACTGGAATAATCACTTCAGGGTGTCATGTCTCTGTAAAGCAGGAGTTTACATCCATGTCTGTATGAACTCATATGTTATATGTAGTGACAATATTAAATGTATTTTGGCGTAATTAGCCTATGAATGCTTGACTAAATGACTATAAGAGTTGTGACGGTGAACCAAAAGAGTAAAGAGACAAAAAGAGGAAGACTGTTATGGCCTAATCGATGCTTAATAAATCATATGCTAATGCATTCATTTAGAACTCTCTGTCTTTTCAGCTCTTTCAGGTATTAAGGACACCTCTCAAATAAACTGTCTGACCACTGGAAAAGTGCTGCTGGATGTCTGGACCACACTCCATTTGTAAACTGCTCATTTTTAAAGTGCTACAAAAATAATTGTGTCTTATCACACAGTGGTAATTTTAATTACATACTGTACATTGTTTCTTCTTAAGTCATTTAATCCTTTCATTTGTTACATCTGTTGTTTTCTATAGTTGCTAAAATAAATCTGCAAAAATGTATATTTGAAATTCCTCATGAAAAACTAACAGGTTAAGTTTTCCAGTTTTCAGCTGAGAAACTTGAACATAATTACCTGTTTCCTGCTCAGAGGAATAGTGTTTTCAAACATAGTCCAGACGACAGCTTCAGCACAGCTGGGTGTAGTGAGCGAACCTTCGTAGCGAAAGTACTTGGTCATATTTTTCTGCGGCAGAGTGAACATGTCCAGGGACACTTCCTTCACTGTGGTGCTGTTGCCTGTTTTTTATTAAACATTAACAAGACAATCAAATATTAATCGAAGAGGTTCAAGGTGACAGATTCATTGTTGTAATCAATTTATTGTTGAGATAGAACAAAAGGTGTCTTATGACACTGTGCTATTTCAAAAATTGCACTTTAGCCTGATGCTGGAACATCAGCAGCACAATGAGATTGATGTCACTCTAAGATAATGATGCACAATTATATTCTTTTTCCATGTCATCAGAAAAGACTTACTAGGTTGTTGGATGTATTTCAGGGCCTTTATAATGGGTTCAAATTTCTTATTTGCAGATCCAGACTCCTGCAATGAAAGGATAGAATGTTGAAAGCTGAAATAAAAAATTTTAAATAGATGAACAAATAAATACTGTTGGAAAAGCTGGATAAATCATGAGGGACTTTTTAGAAGTGGAATGCAAACTGAAGCAGTGCTCAGTCCCTGGAAATATATTTTGGCTAGTAAAATGATGCTTTGTGTACGCCGATGACAAAGAACAATAAAGTTTATTTAAGGATTTATATCAGATCCTACCGGGATCAGGTTTTAAACAATCACCTTTTTAAAGTTTTATTAGAGTTTATTACCTTTGACTTTCCCCTTAATTAACACAACAATAAAACAAACTGTCCATTGTAAAGTTACTGGTTAACTCATTCCTGCAAATTCCAATTAATTCTATGTTTTACAGTCATTCTTTTGTGTAAACGTTATTGGTGTTCCTCAAGGCTTAGTGTTTTAAAATATCAACAAAATGGGTGTCATTGATGATGGCAGTTACTTCAATTAAGCAAATCTCCTTATTAGTATTTAAGAGCTATCTTTGAATTTAAACCACCACGTGCCATCCTTATCTTTCATGAGCATAAAGTCCTGCTCCTCTGCCTGCTACAAATTCATGAAGTCTACTTGAAAAACCCTGGATATTGTATATGTTTTTAATATAAAATATTTTTGTCACCTGAAAGAAGAATCCAAGAACAGCCACACCTGTGCGGTCTCTGACAGCCTGGGATATGGAGTCGTATTTTTCTTTTATATGAACAATATGCATCTGTAGGTGACATATTAAGTTCATGTTATATTTTTATAAGTACAATTAATCCTTCATTTATCACATGCAGTGATGGTTAGAACACATTGCATACCTCCATTGGGAATTGTTCTCCATCGATTAAGTGTTCAGAACCTGGCCCTCCATCTTTGCCCCAATGCAGGTGAAGTTGAATCGCCTTGTACGTCGCAGGCAGATTTCCTCCCTTGACCCTTATACTGCAGGGCAACTCCAGCTGAACTACAAAACATCAGTCAAAAAGAACAAAAAGGTTAATGGAGACCTCACCCAGACTCAAAGAGACACACAACAGTATGAATGTGCGTATTTGTGTGGTCTTGCTAATCATTCTGGTCTTTTTGTGTCTCGTTGTGATCATTGTCTGTCAGCTTTGTCATTTTGATTCCCTCAGTGGTTATATTTACTCATCTGTTTGTGGTATTTTGTGTCTTAGTAGAGTTGGCAGCTCTTTGTGGAGGGCATATCCTAAAATATTAGTAATGTTTTTCAGCTTCTTTGGGCTTCATTCATTTTTTTCTACCTTTTCGTTGCCTTAAGACTATTTTGCTGCCTGATCAAATATTTCCAACTGATTAAAACCATCCAGAAGTCACCTGTTGTCTTTTAACCAGCAATCTTTTTTTGTTTTAATCAGATAAACCTTCAGTGATCACAAAGACATACCAGAGTGACCGGTGTTTATGAAGCGGCTATGAAAAGTTTCTTGATAGCCCGTGAAGTGAAGAGGAGTGAGGCGTTCATCTGGAAATACTCTCCTCATCACGATGTTAACAGGAGACTGAGATCTGCCGCTGCAATGATGAGACACCACTCCCCAAGTCTCTGGACCTGTGAAGGCAGGAGGATAGAAATAATGGTAAATCAACTACTGCATACACTATTTTCTGCATTTTTGAAAACTGCTCAGTGTCGGTGGCTTTTCTGGAGCTTTACCTTTACAGGTGCTACTGCATGCGACTTGAGACTGGTAGCACCAATCTAAAGAACAACAGCAGATTAACTTTTTTTTTTCTTAATAATGAATAAAAACATAAACACTTTCAGTTGAATAATATGTGATTGCATGCAACTCATTGACTAACAAACTATCACATATCCAAACAATGCATTCACTACACTTTTTCATAGAATTATAATTATTTGTTTTTAATTACATGAACATACCTGACCCTGAGACAATCTTCACGACAGATGAAAGCAAAAATAAAATGGGTAAAAGCACCATTGCAAATGTCCTGCATGTGTCCATGTCTGTCTGCACTGACCGTTTCAAGGGACGATGACGATGCCAGAAACCAGCCTGTTATAAGACAGGTAGGCCGACCCCTCAGACCTGCCCACACACCACGCTTCAGTTTTATGATTTCTGGGACACCTCACACTCAACAAACACTGAGTATGGAGACTGACATTCTGAACATAAACAAAGCTGCTGCTGTGTACTTTAAATTGAATGTAAAATTATTAATATCAATATTAAAAATTGTTGATCTAAGAACTCTATTAATAGCATCTGGAACAGTCCATTTTATTTAGATTTCCACTTTACCTGTAGCATTTGGAAGCAATAGCATTATGAATGCTGTTACATACGTGTCCCGCCCTATGCACAGGTATGTGATTTTCTATCTCATGTACATATTCCAGTGCTTTTCTATAAAGACTTACCCTTTACCCTGTCAATCTTTAAATACAGTGATTATATAATGCATATATCTTTTTTCTCAGATTGGACATTCAGGTGCGACCTGTGGATGTCTATCATGTGCTTCATGTGACTTTTTTATGATTTTGTGGAGCTAGTTATCTGATTGCAGAATAAGTGTTTTTAAGTGAAAGGATCTAGGTTCATGGTTCGGAGTAACACTTTTTTTTGCACTTTAGCTTCAGATTAGATAACATAGTTGTCACATCGAATTGTATTTCAACTGTGATACAATTAACCATTAGTATGATTGAACAAATGCCAATTTATCATGGGAAGTAATGAAATTAAATAGAAGTAAGTGAAGTTAAGTTGCAAATAAAATGAAATATAAAAAGTGTTACCAATGCAGAAAAATTGTATTCTCTTTACTATACCAATATATCAATGGATCATTATTCATCATGTGTGAATGGCATGTTATAGATGTTATTTGAGTATTTGCTTGATTGAAGTATGATTCTCCAATGAGTAACTTGACCAACATTATTTAAGCTTTTATCCACTAGAGGTCGCAACAAGCACAATATTAAACACCAGGTTATTGATCTCCTGCTTCTCACTCATAGAATTAGCAGTAGGTGGTGGAGGAAGTATTTAAATGTATTCATCTGTAAAAGGTAAAATTAATAATCAGCTAAATTTTCTTTGAGTATCAAGAAGAAATGTACTTGTTCTCTACAGGAAAGGGACCCTGTCTGAAATTTCACTTCTGACATTATTAGATCATCAGTACTAACAAATATATGTACAAGTAACATTTTCTGTTGTAACTTTCAAGAGGGTTTGAACTAACTCATTTAGTCTAGTGGTTATTCCCTCCAGTGGGCAGGATAAATCTGATCAGCGAAAATGATTCAGGGAGAATAATTTGGAATGACATATATGGTGCATGTTGTTGACAATGTTAATACTTTTATATTTCACAATGTTAAAAAAACAAAGGACACCAAGGAAAACATATCCTTGGTGAAAATATCATTGGTGAATACATGAGTCACAAGAAAAAGCCGTTTCACTTTAGAACAAGAACAATTTGCTTATAACTCTTTTGTACTTTCACATAAAAAAGGATCCAAATATTTTTTCCACCACTTCATGTTAACATACTGAAGACATTTTTCATTAATAGACTTTTATTTTTCTTTATATTTCCTAATGTTCTCACATATATATTCAGAAATGCAATGGTTGTGATAGAAAGGGAGAATTCTGTTGACAGAATGGACAATTTGTAGCAGCACAAAGACACTGATTCTGTATATGATACTATGTCAAGACTTTATGCGTCATATGTTCAACTCAACTGTTCCCTCAAACTCACAAGCTGCCATTTTACAAAATAAGAAAAAGAAGCTTCTGCAGACAGAGACCAACTTTAATCTATTTCTGTGTTCCTGCCACAGAGAGCTGCCAGTGAATTTCCTGCTCGGCTTCCAGTCCAACGGAGAGCCAAGGGACACCAGTGACTGCCAACCACCACCTACCATCTTTCTGATGTTAATGACCATCTATTTGTGTGGAGACTGCACATTTGTGGAATACACAAATGTTCCACAATGCACTTTGCTCCTTACGTACTCCACTTTGTTAAGAACCAGCTCCAGTGCCAGGCCACGGTTCCTCACACCCAAACAGAAAATGTGTGTCAAAGAAATGTGGGTAGTCTTGATCTGCCATGATCTCCTGCCAGAAATAAAACATGATTGTTGGGTTTTTATAGAAGTGGAGAACGATCAGGTGCTGTATTGTCAGGGGCGTGGACAGAGGAGTGGCCATGGGTGGCATGATGTCCCCAGGGTAAGAAGATGAAAGGTGGGTGGATTATTAAACAGGTTCAGGTCCCTTAACAAGAAAAAAATTACCTTGCTCCTCATTTGAGAAACAAGAAAATAACGTACACTTCCTCATCCATCAATGACACACAAGCTAATTTAACCTCTGTTGCTTTGCTTCTCTCAATCAATAAATTCTCCCCTTTGTTGGGGACTGTAATGGGTTATTGGAGCCTCTGCCACTGAGTGTATGTCCTCTCATTACTGTGTCCTTCTCTATACCACAGATTGCGTATTCCTTTGTGTGTGAGCCCACTCTCAGATGTTCAGAGCCATCCCTGCAGCAACAATAGTATGAATGCGCTATGAGCTGCACCTATCAGCAAGGTACAGGATATTGCAGTATGTATATTGCTTTACTAATAATCCATGGTAGGAGGTAACTAAGTACATTTACTCAATACTGGGCATCTTGACATGACTTAAAGGTTCAGTGTGTAAGATTTAGGTGAAAGGAATTTTCGCAGGTTCTATTTCATATTTGGAAGGGTAGGGTGAGGTGAGGGGTATTCAGCTGCAACATGCAACGTCACAACTAGATGTCACTAAATTCTTCAAACTGAATCTTTGAAGTGAACTAGACTGTTACTGTATGTCTGTGCAGAAGATTTATATACCACGATTTTTTTGTTGATATTTTTTGGCAGACATCCACAGTCACTTCAGTTTTAAAACCACTTTTAATCCATTTGATGATGTTGCATCTAAATTTACCACAAGGCCAAAACACATTCTCAAAGGTCATTCACTTACACAAGAATTTAAATGTCCTGCCACTTTTTCCCTCTGTGAGAATCTGCTTTTTCACCCATTTAATTGTGTTAGTCGCTTTGCCATTTCAGCTTATGATTGTGTCTGAATGCTAAGCTCCTTTGAATGCTTGGATGTCCTCCAAAAAATCTGGAAACTTGAGCTGCAGCATGAAAGTCTGCATTGTTTCATCGTTCCCACTGTTTGCAAGACTTAACGGGAATATTCTCATAAAAGATTCTTCTTTCCTCAAAAATGCCAACATGCATTTTCTGTGAGTCTAATTTTGAACAAATTCTGCCTTTGAAACACATCCGGATAAATTCTTCTGGTCAGTGTGAGAATCAGCTGACCTGGAGGATTTCAGCCTGTGCACTGGGTGTTACAACCCTCAATGGTCAGGGTGAAAGTGTATAAGTGAGCTCCTAATCTGTGTGGAGAATGTGACCCTGACTCAAACCACACAGGCAGGTGGTAGCTATAAGATCAAAGTCCTCAGTCCTCGGAGCAAAATAGCACAGTAAACACACAAATATTTTCTTGGTATGATTTCTGTGCACAGTACGTAGAAAGGTTCCGACAAAACTTCAGGTTAAGCAGATTATGTATTGAGCCACAAAGTTTTATTCCAATCTTGATTAAACAATTCCAGCTGAGATATCAGGTGGATGTGAATATAAAAGGATTTTAACCACGGTAAAGAGTTACACTTCTCTATTGCTATTCAGATATCAACTAGCTACAGATACATGCAGAGAAACAAGCAAACCTTTTGGAAACTTTTTGCTTTCTTGCTAGGGGTTGGATCAGTAGGCCGCTTTCATGTCTGTATTTTAAACGTGCTTATCCTGAACTAGCAGTAAGCTAACCTAGTAAGCTAACCAATTGCTACCAGTAAGATAACCAAATAAGCTAACAAATTGTTAGCAGTAAGCTAAACTATTAAGCTAACTGACTGCTAGCAGTAGGCCTATGCCGACCTAGTAGGCTAACCGACTGCTAACACATTAGATTTAGTTTGTTTAATTCATGCAAATCCCAATGTGTAAATAAACAATATATTCAACCATGTAGTTTGTGTGGTAGCTAGCATACAAGAATGAAATTAACATTGACCCTCTAACTCTTGACAATGTAAAAAAGAGGCATTATTCTCAAAATGTTAAACTATTGTTGAAAAAGGAAATATTTTACTTTTATTTATTTTATCACTTGACATAGCTACATGGAAGCACTGTGAGATACATTCATAGTCATTCAGAAAATGTATTACACACATCTAGAATAAAGTATAACAAAACGTGATTCACACTTTACAATCAAAAGGATTTTTGTCCAAATCTGTGATTTTAATGTTGAACAAAGAAGATTATATTTTGAATATGTATCATTTATCTCATTAACAAGCAGATTTATCTGATTGACAGAAGCTAGCGTAGCCAGCTAAGTTGCCTTTCTGAAGCATATCCCACTGTTCTCATACCACATGGCTCATTGTTGTCTGATCGATAGCACTGCTGCTTTCCTCCTCTTCTTCCTGGTGAATTGTGCTTTTGCTTTCTCAATCGTTAACTGAATCGGGCTCATGACGGGAGGAGCTGAGGTGGTGACATGGGGCCTGTCAGACCTGTGTGGACTGAACTCATCAGCAGTGGTGATTTTGGACGATGTGGTTGTAAATGTCATTGGTATGTGTTCAGTTTGTTCAGGGACAGAAGGTCCGACACTAAGAGCTGCGGGCTCGGCTCTCTGTCTTGATTTCTTCTGCCGCCTGATTGTTTGCCTTTGTCGCTTTGCACTGACTGCAGGGGGCACTGTTGTAAAAAGCCTCCATACCCTTTGAGTTAGAAGACTTTCTGTGGATCTAATTGCAGGAGGGCTTGTGTTGCTACCCATGGCTGGAGTTGTGGGAATTGGGGGTAAATTGTCAGAGATGTTGTGATCAAAAGGTAAGGCCATTTTCCTCCTT